CATGTCACATAAAGATATCTATAGATCTGATGCTTAATTATATGTCTAATAAGTGTTCCTGTCATTTAACCATAGTAATTTAACTTAATACGATGTCACATAAAGATATGTATAGATCTGATGTTTAATTATATGTCTAATAAGTGTTCCTGTCATTTAACCATAGTAATTTAACTTCATACGATGTCACATAAAGATATGTATAGATCTGATGTTTAATTATATGTCTAATAAGTGTTCCTATCATTTAACCATAGTAATTTAACTTAATACAATGTCACATAAAGATATCTATAGATCTGATGTTTAATTATATGTCTAATAATTCAGACTTCAGAACTTCATTACTTAATGCAATGAAAAATTGTTAACGCGATGTTTGAAAGTTCAGCCTTCTCGTTTTCTTCAATTTTGAAAGTTACTGTCAAAACTGAGGGATTATGGAGGCATATTGAGGAGATGGAGTAAACCAAATCAGAGTTATCCAAACTGATGATCGCGATTCCCAAAATATTAATTTTCAACTCTTACAACGAGTGGAAACCCACCTTACATGAAACAAAAATGTTATCTAAGCCATTATCTGATAAAATGTTTGTCTGTCCGCTTATAGCTTGTAAATTGTTGAACCGATTGTCACCAAACTAGACATGTGCCCTAAGGGCTTTCCTGGGGGGGGGGGTGACAGTGAAGGGTCAAAGTTCGAATCTGTCTCCTATGTTGCCTCCAACGTCTTCCCTTGTCTTCATCTTCTATAGATACACGATAATCCGCCAATCTTAAAACAACGGTTGAAATTAGCAAGTTGTTCCGCCTGCCTCAACTTATTTTTGAAGACAATTACTGGAACCAACTTTCTTTTGAAAATAACTTGTTCTTGTGCTTCACAGTCATCATTTCACGAACGGAACAGCTGTTCTAATCAAATCAGGCACATCCGTTCCATTGGTTACGCTCATTGTTTCATTAGATGTTTACGGTTTTAGTAGCTAGTAATATAATTATCAGGTAATATGGGTATGGGAGAAAGGGTTTCAAAACAGGGAGGGGGGAGTTGTGGTGAGCAAAAGTTTAGGAAACCCTGAACTAATCGATACACCGATGTTTAGCACTAATATAAAGGCACGAAAATATTACTTGTTTCCTCTTTTTTCCAATCAGATTTAGATTTCCCCTCAGACTCACCAGCAATCAGTTTTAAAAAAAACAACATGTTATTTATTAATATATGAGAGAAGGCGGATACTTTCCAAGGGAAAAAGGTAGAAGGAAAATATAATACAACGGATTACATATTGACTTAATGTAGCTCCTGCTACTATCATAAAACCCTTGGTGTAAAGCTAGAAA